TGGTAGACTGGTGGAGTGGGTGTCTGGTGGGAGTGTGAAGTAGTGGTAGATGGTGGGGTAGTATGGTAGACTGGTGGTTGTGGAAAAGTACTGGTGGTAGTTTGTGGTAGTATGGTGGTAGTAGTTTGGTAGTATGGTTGTAGGGGGTTTGGTAGTATGGTGGTAGTGATGGTAGTACTGGGGTAGTGATGGGATAGTGGTAGTACTGGGGTTAGTGTGGTTGTTGGTGGTAGTAGTGGGTTGTATGGTGGTAGTAGGTAGTAGGGTGGGAGTATGGTAGTATGGTTGGTAGTAGTGGTAGACTGGTGGGAGTGATGGTAGTAGGGGGGTATGGTTGTAGTGGGTAGTACTGGGGGTAGTGTGGTAGTGGTGGGAGTGATGGTGTAGTGGTGTACGGTGGGGTAATGGGATTTTTTTGGGGTGTGATGGTAGTTGGGGGTAGGTGGTAATAGTGGTAGTACTGGGGGTAGTGATGGTATAGTGGGGAGTTGGTGGTAGTAGGGGTAGTACTGGGGGTAGTGTGGGTAGGGGGTAGTGATGGGGGGGTAGTGGGAGTACTGGTGGTTAGTAATGGTAGAGGTGGTGTGTGGTAGTAGTAGTGTACTGGGTATAGTGGTAGTATGGGTGGTAGTGATGGGAGTGTGTGTTGGTGGGGTAGTGTGGTAAATCCCGGGGGTAGTGATGGTTAGTAGTAGTTTACTGGGGGGTGTATGGTAGTCTGGTGGTAGTGATGGTAGTTGTGAGTACGGGGGTAGTAGTGTAGTGTGGTAGTAGTGGTAGTACTGGTGGGATGTGGGAACTGGTGGTAGTGAGGTAGTAGTGGGAGTAAAAGGTGTAGTAGTGGTATTTTGGGGGGGTAGGATGGGATAGTGTAATGGTGGTAGTATGGTGTACTGTGGTAGGTGGTAGTAGTGGTGTACTGGTGGAGTAGTGGTAGGGACTTGGTAGTGAGGGGAGTATGGGGTAAGGGGGAGTAGGGTGTTCGGTGTTTGTGATGGTAGTAGTGGGTATGGGGTAGTGTGGTAATACGGTGGTGTGATGGGAGTAGGGGATACTGGTGGTAGTAGTGGTAGTACTGGTGGGTGAGGAAAAAGTGTAGACTGGGGGGGTAGTGGTAGTACTGGGGGAATGAGGTGTAGTGGTAGTAGGGGGTGGTAGTACTGGGGTGTGATGGTAGTAGTGGTAGTATGGTGGAAGTGGTAGTACTGGTGGTAGTGAGGTGTTGGTACTGGTGGGGAGAGTGGTATACTGGGGGTAGTGTGGGGTGTAGTACTGGGGGAAATTGGTATTGGTGGTAGTGATGGTAGTAGGTGTATGGTGGGAGGGGGTATACTGGTGGGTGTGAGGTTAGTTGTGGTGTACTGGGAGTAAGGGGGAGTATGGTAGTAGTGGTTAGGTGGTTGTGGTTACTGGTGGTATGAGGTAGTAGTGGGAGAATGGGGGAGGTGGTGTATGGTGGGATGTGGTTTTGTGAGTATGGTGGTAGTATGGTATACTGGGGAGTGATTGTAGTGGTATTTGGGGTAGTATGTAGTATGGTGGGGATGATGGAGTAGTGGGGAGTACTGGGGGTAAATAGTGGTAGTACTGGGGGGTGATGGTAGTAGTGGTAGTCTGGTGGTATGTGGTAGTACTGGTGGTAGTGATGGTAGTTTGGGGAGTACTGGTGGGATATTTGGGAGTACTGGTGGTGTGTGGTAGTATTTTGTATAAAATGGGGGTAGTAGTGGTAGTTGGTGGTAGTGATTTGGGAGTAGTGTAATATGGTGGTAGTGATGGGAGTACTGGTGGTAGTGATGGTGTAGTGGTAGTCTGGGGGGGTAGTAGTGGTAGTATGTGGTATGATTGTAGTGGTATATGGGGGTGTAGTGGTAGACTGGTTGGTTGATTTTGGGGTGTTTACTGGTGGTAGTGTGGTTTACTTGGGGTGATGGAGTAGTGGTAGTCTGGTGGTAGTGATGGTAGTATGTTATGTGGGAGTTGGGGTATGGTGGAGTATGGGAGTACTGGTGGAGTGGGGTGGTATTTTGGTGGTGTGATTTTGGTTAGTGTGGTGTACTGGTGGTAGTATGGGGACTGGGGTGTAGTAGGGGAGTACTGGTGGTATTGGATGGTAGTAGGTGTTGGGGAGTAGGGTAGTACTGGTGGTATGGGGGTAGTAGGGGGGTAGTATTTAGAGTGTAGTACTGGTGGTAGTAGTGGAGTACTGGGGGTAGTGGAGTTTTCTGGTGTATGATGGTAGTTGGGGTTTTGTGGTTAGTGTAGTATGGTGAGTTTTAGTGGTAGGTCTGGGGGTAGTGTGGTGTATGGTGGTAGTTGGGGTGTAGTAATGGGTAGTATGGTAGTTGGTGTAGTAGTGGGAGTTGGTGGTGTAGTGGTAGTATGGTGGTAGTATTGTAGTGGGATACTGGTGGTAGATGGTAGTATGGTGGATGTGGTTGGAGTGGTTGTATGGGGGGTAGTAGTGGTAGTACTGGTGGGATGTGGTAGTAGTGGAGATGGTGGTAGTAGTGGGGTATGGGGTGAGTGGTAGTCTGGTGGTAGGGGAGTGGGATGATGGTATGTGGTTTCTGGTGGTGTAGTGGTGTTGTTGGGAGTGTGGTAGTATGGTGGTAGTGATGGAGTTGGTGGGATGTGGTAGTAGTGGTAGTACTGGGGGTTAGTGGTAGACGGGGGGGGAGTGTGGTTGTCTGGTGGGGAGTAGGTTAGTGGTTGTACTGGTGGTAGTGGTAGTATGGTGGTAGTAGGTAGTATGGAGTACTGGGGGTAGTAGTGGTAGTACGGTGGTGTATGGTGGGGTGATGGTAGTATGGTAGTACTGGTGGAGTGTGGTAGTAAAGGTGGGAGTGTGGTATACTGGTGGTAGTGAGGTAGTAGGGTAGATGGTGGTAGTAGTGGGGTACTGGTTGGGAAGTATGGTTATGGTTGTATAGTGGTGTTGGTGGTAGTACTGGTGGAGTGATGGTAGTAGTGGTATATGGTTGTAGTGGTGTAGGGTTTAGTGGAGTACTGGGGGTAGTGATGGTAGTGTGGTAGTAATGGTGGAGTAGTGGTAGTATGGTGGTAGTGTGGTAGTACTGGTGGTAGATGGTATTTTCTGGGGTAGTGTTTTAGTACTGGTAGTAGGGGGTAGTACTTGGTGGGAGTGATGGTATACGGGGAGACTGGTGGTAGGTGGTAGTATGGTAGTATGGTGGTAGTAGGTGGTAGTACTGGTGGTAGTGATGGTAGTACTGGTGGTAGTAGTGGTAGTACTGGTGGTAGTGATGGTAGTACTGGTAGTACTGGTGGTAGTACTGGTGGTAGTGATGGTAGTACTGGTAGTACTGGTGGTAGTACTGGTGGTAGTGATGGTAGTAGTAGTAGTCTCAGTAACCTTGCTTTTACATCTTCACTCTTCTCTACATTCTTTACTGCTACACAATATTATTATTATTATTATTATTATTATTATTATTATATTATTATTATTATTATGTGTGGTGGTGGTAATATTGAGGGTGTGAGGGGTGGCAGTGTAGCCATAACCAGAGTGTAACCCTGTAAGTCATCTCCTGCCATTATTACCAGGTGCTACTCCAGTACTCCACCTCTCCCACCTCTCCACCCCCTCCCTCTCCTTCCTTCTTTACATCCTCTTTTCTTACCTCTCTCCCCCCAAACCCTTCTCTCCCTTCCTCTCCCTCCTATCTTTCTCCATTTCCCTCCTTCTCCCTCTTCCTTTCCCTCCTACCTCCCTCTTTCCTCTCTCCTTCTTCTCCCTCTTTCCTCTCTCCTTCCTCTCTCCTTCCTCTCCCTCCAACCTCTCTCCTTCCTCCCCCTCCAACCTCTCTCCTTCCTCACCCTCCAACCTCTTTTCCTTCTCCCTCCAACCTTTTTCCTTCCTCTCCCTCCCCCTCTCCCCTTTCCTCTCCCTCCAACCTCTCTCCTTCCTCCCCCTCCAACCTCTCTCCCTTTTCTCCCCCCAACCTCTCTCCTTCCTCTCCCTCCAACCTCTCTCCTTCCTCTCCCCCCAACCTCTCTCCTTCCTCTCCCCCCAAACCTCTCTCCTTCCTCTCCCTCCTCCCTCCCTATCTCTCTCCTTCCTCTCCCTCCTACCTACCCTTTCCCTCCCCTTTACCTATCCTTCCTCTCCCTCCTACCTCTTCCTTCTCCCTCCTTCCTCATCTCCTTTTTCCCCCCTCCCCCCTCTTGTCTCCTGACATCCTCCCCTCATCTCTAGATCCTCCCCCTTTTACATCCCCTTCCCCCTCTCCCTATACACCCCCTCCCCTCAAAATCTCCCTCCCTTCCTCTCCACATCCCCCCTCCTCCCCCTACGTATCTTGTTCAATGTCTTGCCGTTTTAATATTTTTTTTCGACAGTCTGGTCATAATTTTAAGTTTAATAAATTTTATGAGAGAGAGAGAGAGAGAGAGAGAGAGAGAGAGAGAGAGAGAGAGAGAGAGAGAGAGAGAGAGAGAGAGAGAGAGAGCAGTATTAGTAATAGCAGAACAAAGAGGAAGGGTAATACCTTCAGCAGCCTGAAGATTTACGTAGCAAGATGCTTTTGATAGTGGTAGTAGTGGTAGTGGGGTAGTGGTGGTAATGGCCTGGTGGTGGTAATGATTTTAGTGGTAGTAGCGGTGGAAGTAGTGGTGGTGGTAGCCGTGGTGGTAGTGGTGGTTGTAGAGGAAAGATGGTGGTGACTGGGGAAAGTTAGTAAGACTTGATGAACTTAACAAGTTACCAGCGTTGACTTTATCACTTAAGCTAGGTAGACTCTCCTTGTGAAGTTACACCACTCTCTCTCTCTCTCTCTCTCTCTCTCTCTCTCTCTCTCTCTCTCTCTCTCTCTCTCTCTCTCTCTCTCTCTCTCTCTCTCTCTCTCACTGTCGTCACTACTACGTACATCAGATTACAGTCTGGTTGAATCTGGGTAATGGGTATGGTAGCTCCAGTTCCTGGAATCAAGACCCCCCCGGTGGTCAAGGTGTAACTAGGTATTGTTGTGTTGCAGGGACCTAAGTAACAACGTGCTGACCAGCCTTGATGCCGCCCAGATGTCAGGACTCAGACGACTCCGCAGACTGTGAGTATTATTATACCTTTTACTAACCTACCTACTGTACCTACCTGCCGTACCTACCTACCTACCGTACCTAACTACCGTACCTAACTACCGTACCTACCTACCGTACCTACCTACCTACCCTACCTACCTACCCTACCTACCTACCCTACCTACCTACCTACCCTACCTACCTACCCTACCTACCTACCTACCTACCCTACCTAACCTACCTACCCTACCTACCCTACCTACCTACTACTACTACCTACCTACTACCTCCCACCCAACTACCACTACCTACCTACCTCTACCTACCCCCAACTACCCTACCTACCTACCTACCGTACCTACCTACCTACCCACCTACCCAACTACCCTACCTACCTACCTACCTACCTACCCAACTACCCTACCTACCCAACTACCCTACTACCTACCTACCCTACCTAACTACCGTACCTGCCTGCCTACCTACCGTACCTACCTACCTACCCTACCTACGTAACTACCCTACCTACCTACCCTGCCTACCTACCCTACCTACCTACCCTACCTAACTACCGTACCTACCTACCTACCTACGTAACTACGTACCTGCCTACCGTACATCTTCATTGTACCCTTGTAACTTGCTAAAACCTTCTTTGTACCCTTCTAACTTGTTAAAAACCTACATTGTACCCTTCTAACTTGTTAAAAACCTACATTGTACCCTTCTAACTTGTTAAAAACCTACATTGTACCCTTGTAACTTGTTAAAAACCTACATTGTACCCTTGTAACTTGTTAAAAACCTGCATTGTACCTTTGTAACTTGTTTAAAAACCTACATTGTACCCTTGTAAACTTGTTAAAAACCTGCATTGTACCTTTGTAACTTGTTAAAAAACCTACATTGTACCCTTGTAACTTGTTAAAAAACCTGCATTGTACCTTTGTAACTTGTTAAAAACCTACATTGACCTTGTAACTTGTTAAAAACCTGCATTGTACCTTTGTAACTTGTTAAAAACCTACATTGTACCCTTGTAACTTGTTAAAAACCTGCATTGTACCTTTGTAACTTGTTAAAAACCTACATTGTACCCTTGTAACTTGTTAAAAACCTGCATTGTACCCTTGTAACTTGTTAAAAACCTTCATTGTACCCTTGTAACTTGTTAAAAACCTGCATTGTACCTTTGTAACTTGTTAAAAACCTGCATTGTACCCTTGTAACTTGTTAAAAACCTGCATTGTACCTTTGTAACTTGTTAAAAACCTTCATTGTACCCTTGTAACTTGTTAAAAACCTGCATTGTACCTTTGTAACTTGTTAAAAACCTGCATTTTGTAGTTATAAACAGGTAGTGAGCTTTAGTGATTAATATATGCTGGTATATACAAGGGTGAAGATAATATATGCTGGTATATACAAGGGTGAAGATAATATATGCTGGTATATACAAGGGTGAGGATAATATATGCTGGTATATACAAGGGTGAAGATAATATATGCTGGTATATACAAGGTGAAGATAATATATGCTGGTATATACAAGGGTGAAGATAATATATGCTGGTATATACAAGGGTGAGGATAATATATGCTGGTATATACAAGGGTGAAGATAATATATGCTGGTATATACAAGGGTGAAGATAATATATGCTGGTATATACAAGGGTGAAGATAATATATGCTGGTATATACAAGGGTGAAGATAATATATGCTGGTATATACAAGGGTGAGGATAATATATGCTGGTATATACAAGGGTGAAGATAATATATGCTGGTATATACAAGGGTGAAGATAATATATGCTGGTATATACAAGGGTGAAGATAATATATGCTGGTATATACAAGGGTGAGGATAATTATATGCTGGTATATACAAGGGTGAAGATAATATATGCTGGTATATACAAGGGTGAAGATAATATATGCTGGTATATACAAGGGTGAAGATAATATATGCTGGTATATACAAGGGTGAAGATAATATATGCTGGTATATACAAGGGTGAAGATAATATATGCTGGTATATACAAGGGTGAAGATAATATATGCTGGTATATACAAGGGTGAGGATAATATATGCTGGTATATACAAGGGTGAAGATAATATATGCTGGTATATACAAGGGTGAGGATAATATATGCTGGTATATACAAGGGTGAAGATAATATATGCTGGTATATACAAGGGTGAAGATAATATATGCTGGTATATACAAGGGTGAGGATAATATATGCTGGTATATACAAGGGTGAGGATAATATATGCTGGTATATACAAGGGTGAAGATAATATATGCTGGTATATACAAGGGTGAAGATAATATATGCTGGTATATACAAGGGTGAGGATAATATATGCTGGTATATACAAGGGTGAGGATAATATATGCTGGTATATACAAGGGTGAAGATAATAAATGCTGGTATATACAAGGGTGAAGATAATATATGCTGGTATATACAAGGGTGAGGATAATATATGCTGGTATATACAAGGGTGAGGATAATATATGCTGGTATATACAAGGGTGAAGATAATATATGCTGGTATATACAAGGGTGAAGATAATATATGCTGGTATATACAAGGGTGAAGATAATATATGCTGGTATATACAAGGGTGAAGATAATATATGCTGGTATATACAAGGGTGAGGATAATATATGCTGGTATATACAAGGGTGAGGATAATATATGCTGGTATATACAAGGGTGAAGATAATATATGCTGGTATATACAAGGGTGAAGATAATATATGCTGGTATATAACAAGGGTGAAGATAATATATGCTGGTATATACAAGGGTGAAGATAATATATGCTGGTATATACAAGGGTGAAGATAATATATGCTGGTATATACAAGGGTGAAGATAATATATGCTGGTATATACAAGGGTGAGGATAATATATGCTGGTATATACAAGGGTGAAGATAATATATGCTGGTATATACAAGGGTGAGGATAATATATGCTGGTATATACAAGGTGAAGATAATATATGCTGGTATATACAAGGGTGAAGATAATATATGCTGGTATATACAAGGGTGAGGATAATATATGCTGGTATATACAAGGGTGAGGATAATATATGCTGGTATATACAAGGGTGAAGATAATATATGCTGGTATATACAAGGGTGAAGATAATATATGCTGGTATATACAAGGGTGAGGATAATATATGCTGGTATATACAAGGTGTGAGGATAATATATGCTGGTATATACAAGGGTGAAGATAATAAATGCTGGTATATACAAGGGTGAAGATAATATATGCTGGTATATACAAGGGTGAGGATAATATATGCTGGTATATACAAGGGTGAGGATAATATATGCTGGTATATACAAGGGTGAAGATAATATATGCTGGTATATACAAGGGTGAAGATAATATATGCTGGTATATACAAGGGTGAAGATAATATATGCTGGTATATACAAGGGTGAAGATAATATATGGTGGTATATACAAGGGTGAGGATAATATATGCTGGTATATACAAGGGTGAAGATAATATATGCTGGTATATACAAGGGTGAGGATAATATATGCTGGTATATACAAGGGTGAGGATAATATATGCTGGTATATACAAGGGTGAAGATAATATATGCTGGTATATACAAGGGTGAAGATAATATATGCTGGTATATACAAGGGTGAGGATAATATATGCTGGTATATACAAGGGTGAAGATAATATATGCTGGTATATACAAGGGTGAAGATAATATATGCTGGTATATACAAGGGTGAGGATAATATATGCTGGTATATACAAGGGTGAAGATAATATATGCTGGTATATACAAGGGTGAAGATAATATATGCTGGTATATACAAGGGTGAAGATAATATATGCTGGTATATACAAGGGTGAGGATAATATATGCTGGTATATACAAGGGTGAAGATAATATATGCTGGTATATACAAGGGTGAGGATAATATATGCTGGTATATACAAGGGTGAGGATAATATATGCTGGTATATACAAGGGTGAGGATAATATATGCTGGTATATACAAGGGTGAAGATAATATATGCTGGTATATACAAGGGTGAAGATAATATATGCTGGTATATACAAGGGTGAGGATAATATATGCTGGTATATACAAGGGTGAAGATAATATATGCTGGTATATACAAGGGTTGAGGATAATATATGCTGGTATATATACAAGGGTGAGGATAATATATGCTGGTATATACAAGGGTGAAGATAATATATGCTGGTATATACAAGGGTGAGGATAATATATGCTGGTATATACAAGGGTGAGGATAATATATGCTGGTATATACAAGGGTGAAGATAATATATGCTGGTATATACAAGGGTGAAGATAATATATGCTGGTATATACAAGGGTGAGGATAATATATGCTGGTATATACAAGGGTGAAGATAATATATGCTGGTATATACAAGGGTGAAGATAATATATGCTGGTATATACAAGGGTGAAGATAATATATGCTGGTATATACAAGGGTGAAGATAATATATGCTGGTATATACAAGGGTGAAGATAATATATGCTGGTATATACAAGGGTGAAGATAATATATGCTGGTATATACAAGGGTGAAGATAATATATGCTGGTATATACAAGGGTGAAGATAATATATGCTGGTATATACAAGGGTGAAAGATAATATATGCTGGTATATACAAGGGTGAAGATAATATATGCTGGTATATACAAGGGTGAAGATAATATATGCTGGTATATACAAGGGTGAGGATAATATATGCTGGTATATACAAGGGTGAAGATAATATATGCTGGTATATACAAGGGTGAGGATAATATATGCTGGTATATACAAGGGTGAGAGGAAGGACAATGCAAGATATATATTGGTATATTTCAGTAATTTACAGCTGTGGGATTTATTGTCCCTGGCATGTAGGAGCTGTGGGATTTATTGTCCCTGGCATGTAGGAGCTGTGGGATTTACGAGACCCGGTGGGGGGATTAATGCCCCTTGGGGGTGGGAGGGGGTTGGGGGTGTATCTTGGGATTTTACCGTGGATAAATGACTCGAGGATTTACGAGCTAGTTTTTTTAAGTATGTTTTTACATTCTGTTAGGAAGGGGGATTTATTGACCCTTGTCGGTTTAGCGCTTCCCGGGTGATGCGGTGGTGGGGTGATTTACTCATTTTTTTTTTCAGAAAGTTGGGACGAAATCCACTGGCCAGACTACAGGAGGGATTACTGCAGGTGTTGAGTAGCCTTAATTATATGTGAGTACTGTCTGGAGTACTGTTATGTACTGTCTTGAGTACTGTCTGGAGTACTGTCTGGAGGACTGTTATGTACTGTCTTGAGTACTGTCTGGAGTACTGTCTGGAGGACTGTTATGTACTGTCTTGAGTACTGTCTGGAGTACTGTCTGGAGGACTGTTATGTACTGTCTTGAATACTGTCTTAAGTGAGACCTTGCGTGCATCCTTAGTTTTATATTGTGTGTGTGTGTGTGTGTGTGTGTGTGTGTGTGTGTGTGTGTGTGTGTGTGTGTGTGTGTGAGCCTACGGAGTCTGCAAGTCACATTTCACTAGGTTATCTGATCACTGTGCACCTGCAGACCTGTTATAGTTGCTGAGGTGGTCTCCCTCGAGGCCTGGTCTCAGGCCAGTTCTCCTGCTTGGTGGTGTGATGAGTGAGGCTGTTAGTGTTCCCTGCAGGCACCCTCCACAATTTACCTCACCAGAAGACTGCAAGAACTTGATCAGCCTCCTCTTGAAGACAAGAGTCGGTTAATAAGCCTTGTAATTAAGAGCTTCCTTACACACCTTCAAGAACACTTACGACAGTTACTGTTCTGATGTAAGAGGTGATAATGTAATAGATGGTAATATAAAGTGAGAGGTGATAATGTAATGTAAGAGGTGGTAATGTAAGGGGTAATGTAACAGGTGATCAGCCGTGAGTCTGGGATGTGCAAACTTTCGCACATCTTCCAGTTGGATGTGGGTGTTGGTGTGTAAGAGCGCAGGGCAGCGTGGGTCTTCCTGTCACAGTAAACTCAGACGTATTTCTCTGCCTTTAGCAAATTTTGCTGCTGCTGCGAGCAACATAAATATTGCTGAACCCTCTGGCTGCTGCTCTTATGTCTGGCCTTAGTGTTACTCTGGTGTCAGAGGTACAGTTCCCACCACAGAAAGTATCACCACCATTACCACCACAAACCATACCACGGGCGGGGATAGAACCTGCGATCAGAGGGTCTCAAAACTTCAGACCGTCGCGTTAGCCACTGGACCAGCTAGCCACAATAAGATTCGTCCAACTAGGTATATTTGTGGTCACAGTGGTGCCTATGCTAACCTTCCTATGGTGTAGAAATATACCTAGTTGGACGAATCTTATTGTGGCTAGCTGGTCCAGTGGCTAACCCGACGGTCTGGAGTTTTGAGACTCTGATCGCAGGTTCTATCCCCGCCCGTGGTATGGTTTGTTTGCAATCGTGTCATTACGATTTCGTGAGTCACATTACCACCACGCTCCTTCACCATCACCACTACCGCCTTCAGTCATGGAAAGAGTTTTAAGAAGCTAGATTACTATTGAGGTGTTATCACAATTGTACAACTCAGGGCAGCATAGAACAGTGTATAAGACAAACACAAGTCAGACGGAGCAGAGGAAGAATGTGGGAGATACAGGAGTGATAATGTCAGTAGATCTCACCTTCGAGAATCACAAGTGTCATTATCACCACTAGATGGAAAGTTGTAGACTGGATAAGCCAAAAATGGCACTCTTGAAGTCACTTGTTCTCCTTGACTTGCAATATTGCTAAGACTTCCTTTAACAGCAAGTCAAATTACAGCTTTGGAGAATGTACAAAGAACCTTCACAGCTCGAATGAACTCAGACCTTTGAAGTTCCTTGACCTGTACTCCCCGGAACCTAGGCGAGAAACATACATAATTTACACTTGGAAAATTCTAGAGGAATAATCCCAAATCTGCACATTGAAATGACTCCCTGTGTAAGCATGAGATGTGGTAAACAGTGCAGAATATGGTCAGTGAAAAGCAGGGGTGCCATTAGTACACCGAGACTGCTTACTGCTAGCAACAACAACCTCATTGATTAAGTCATCATCATAGATAACCTGAAGGTAACCAATACCATCTAGTCATGAACCAGGCCGCGGGGGCGTTGATCCCCCGAAGAACCTACAGGTATACCACCACAGCTATCACCGCCACCACCAATAACAACAGCAGCAACCCTCACCACTACCACAGCTGTTTACCACTGCTACCACAACCACCAACAGCCACCACAACCACCAACAGCCACCACAACACCACCAGCTATCACTAGCAGTNCACCACCAGCTACCACCAACAGCCACCACAACACCACCAACTCACCACCAACCAGCCACCACAAACAACCAGCTATCACTAGCGTTACCACCAGCTACCACCAACAGCCACCACAACACCACCAGCTATCACTAGCAGTCACCACCAGGTACCACCAACAGCCACCACAACACCAGCTATAACTAGCAGTTACCACCAGCTACCACCAACAGCCACCACAGCACCACCAGCTATCACTAGCAGTCACCACCAGCTACCACCAACAGCCACCACAACACCAGCTATCACTAGCAGTTACCACCAGCTACCACCAACAGCCACCACACCACCACCAGCTATCACTAGCAGTCACCAGCTACCACCAACAGCCACCACAACACCAGCTATTACTAGCAGTCACCACCAGCTACCACCAACAGCCACCACAACACCAGCTATCACTAGCAGTCACCACCACAGCTACCACCACAGCCACCACAACACCAGTCTATCACTAGCAGTCACCACCAGCTCCACAACAGCCACCACAAACACCAGCTATCACTAGCAGTCACCACCAGCTACCACCAACAGCCACCACAACACCAGCTATCACTAGCAGTCACCACCAGCTACCACCAACAGCCACCACAACACCACCAGCTACACCAACAGCCACCATAACACCAGCTATCACTAGCAGTCACCACCAGCTACCACCAACAGCCACCATAAAAACCCCGCTATCACTAGCAGTCAAACCCCCAGCTACCACCAACAGCCACCATAACACCAGCTATCACTAGCAGTCACACCAGCTACCACAAACAGCCACCACAACACCACCAGCTCCCAACAGACCACCCACAACACCAGCTATCACTAGCAGTCACCACCAGCTACCACCAACAGCCACCACAAACACCACAGCTACCACCAACAGCCACCATAACACCAGCTATCCACTAGCAGTCACCACCAGCTACCACCAACAGCCACCATAACACCAGCTATCACTAGCAGTCACCACCAGCTACACCAACAGCCACCATAACACCAGCTATCACTAGCAGTCACACCACCGCTACCACCAACAGCCACCCACAACACCACCAGCTACCACCAACAGCCACCACAACACCAGCTATCACTAGCAGTCACCACCAGCTCCACCAACAGCCACCACAACACCAGCTATCACTAGCAGTCACCACAGCTACCACCAACAGCCACCATAACACCAGCTATCACTAGCAGTCACCACCAGCTACCACCAACAGCCACCACAACACCACCAGCTACCACCAACAGCCACCATAACACCAGCTATCACTAGCAGTCACCACCAGCTACCACCAACAGCCACCATAACACCAGCTATCACTAGCAGTCACCACCAGCTACCACCAACAGCCACCATAACACCAGCTATCACTAGCAGTCACCACCAGCTACCACCAACAGCCACCACAACACCACCAGCTACCACCAACAGCCACCATAACACCAGCTATCACTAGCAGTCACCACCAGCTACCACCAACAGCCACCATAACACCAGCTATCACTAGCAGTCACCACCAGCTACCACCAACAGCCACCACAACACCAGCTATCACTAGCAGTCACCACCAGCTACCACCAACAGCCACCACAACACCACCAGCTACCACCAACAGCCACCACAACACCAGCTATCACTAGCAGTCACCACCAGCTACCACCAACAGCCACCACAACAACCAGCTTCACTAGCAGTCACCACCAGCTACACCAACAGCCACCACAACACCACCAGCTACCACCAACAGCCACCACAACACCAGCTATCACTAGCAGTCACCACCAGCTACCACCAACAGCCACCACAACACCAGCTATCACTAGCAGTCACCACCAGCTACCACCAACAGCCACCACAACACCACCAGCTACCACCAACAGCCACCATAACACCAGCTATCACTAGCAGTCACCACCCGCTACCACCCCCAAAAACAGCCACCACAACACCAGCTATCACTAGCAGTCACCACCAGCTACACACCAACAGCCACCACAACACCCCCAGCTACCCCCAAACAGCCACCATAACACCAGCTATCACTAGCAGTCACCACCAGCTACCACCAACAGCCACCACAACACCACCACCCTCCAGCTTGTAATTGATATAGGATGTAATTGGTTTGGGTAATTTGTCTGGCCTATTGTTGGTGTATGAATGTTTGTAAAGTGTTATGACACTGCTTGACTTATTACTGTGTGATATTACTGCTGGGGGAAGGGCGAGTAGAGTGAGCAAGAATGAGTGAGGCAGAGCGAGTGTGAGAGTGAGGCAGAGCGAGTGTGAGAGTGAGGCAGAGTGAGTGTGAGAGTGAGGCAGAGTGAGTGTGAGAGTGAGGCAGAGGGTGTGGAGAGTGGGCAGAGCGAGTGGTGTGTGAGGCAGAGCGAGTGTGAGAGTGAGGCAGAGCGAGTGTGAGAGTGAGGCAGAGCGAGTGTGAGAGTGAGGCAGAGCGAGTGTGAGAGTGAGGCAGAGCGAGTGTGAGTGGAGGCAGGCGAGTGTGAGAAGGTGAGCAGAGCGAGTGTGAGAGTGAGGCAGAGCGATGTGAGAGTGGGAGGCGCAAGTGTGAGAGTGAGGCAGAGCGATGTGGAGAGAGTGAGGAAAGAGCGAGTGAGAGAGTGGGGCCAGAGCGAGTGTGAGAGTGAGGCAGAGCGAGTGAGAGAGTGAGGGGGAGCGAGTGTGAGATTTGAGGCAGAGCGAGTGAGAGAGTGAGGCAGAGCGGTGTGAGAGTGAGGCAGAGCGAGTGGAGAGTGAGGCAGAGCGAGTGTGGGGAGTGGGGGCCAGAGCGAGTGTGAGGTGAGGCAGAGCGAGTGAGGAGAGTGGGGCCCAGAGGATGGTGAGAGTGAGGCAGAGGCGAGTG